CAAATTTTGCTTTGCCTGAGGGATGACAACATTATAATGAGTAATTTACTTTGAGGTAGCATATACCTTTTGCATAGTGTTACCTAGGTTTTGACCTTTTTATCAGAAAAAACATTTTCATTCTGTGCTTTATGTGTGAAAATATATTTAAATAGATATAAAGACATATTCTGGTACGTGTTTTGTAACCATACCACTGTGGATTATTTGCATATTATAAAAAAGAAAGAAATACAAACAAAATTACTTATGTTCATGATAACTTCGACAAACATGACTGAATGCTCCTGAAAATGGGTACAGATTTTGATGGGATGTGAAGAATTAGTTTGAACTAAGGAAACCTGAGAATTAAATTAAGTTTTAAGATTTTGTAGGTAATGATTTGCTCGTACATTTTTTTCTTTTCGAATGTTGGCTATCCAGCATGCAGAGTAATTCTAAAAATACTTTTATCAGAAAATTGTCAAATTTCACATGCAAAATCCTTATGACCTCCAGATAATTATCAAATGTTTTTTTAGAAATATTTTTATTATTTAACTATTTTTTTTCACGATTGTATCTCTGTATGGGTTTGGTCAATTTGATTGACAACGTAAGCAACATAAAAAATTAGGAAGTAGATATAAATTACACTTTTTTTATTCTATGGCCAAAAAATTATAACATGAAGCCACAAATGTTTAATTTAAATAGCTAAAATCTCATAAGATTATGTATATATATATTTATTTCATTGATCTTTCAGCCCTGTTTAACATTACAGAAGTTGCAATGAAATGTAGAAAACAATGATCTCTTCTACTTATGATTGTAAAGAAGTTTGTACTTGTTTGCGGTACCTTGAACGCTAAGCCTCGCCGAATTTCGCACGTGGAGGATGGAAAACAAAACAACTTTTTTAGGTTTTATATGTGTATTGTGAAATAACAAAAATTATAAATTACTCTTATCAATATCACAGAATACCACTGTAATTTATCAAGTTTACTAACTGAACTGTACTTGGGTCTAAAATATATCGTGTTTTGAACATTTTCATCTTTGAACATCTCTCCAAGATTTGAGGCATAAGAGATAATCTTGGGAAATTCCGAACTTTTGATTGGTTATAAACACGATAGAGCGAAGCGGATGTACATAAGCAAATATTTCCAAAAATGGAAAAGGTGGGTAGGGCCACTGTGTTTGATTTTGCTAAATATAGTGATATCTCAGCAAATAGAAAAGATAGGAGGTTCTTATTTTATATTCTAGCTTGTGAATATCAGTAATTTGAGTTTTTAATTCATAAGAAACCACAGACTTTGTATTTGGACATCACAAACATCTAATTTGAACCAAAGCTTACATTCAACATACCATGTGACACACAAAAATTGATATTTAGGATTTTTTTTTAATATCTACTCTTAAATTAAGGAATTAAATAATGTATGATACTAAAATTTGAATTATAATCTACAATTTGATACAAAATTTATTGACAGACATTCATAAAATAGTAATTCAATAAAAGTTTGAATGCAAGTCTACAAACAAGTCTACATTAGATAGTGATGGAGCATTTGTACGCTGGTGTACTGAATGTTCACATCTACTTGATGTACTTATAACCTAAAACATCAGCTTTAGAGTGGTGATACTGCATATCATGAATTAAAAAGACTCCAATTAAGCAGAAAATAACTATTTATGTACTGGAGTGACTGAGTGTGGGAAAGTCGCAAGGGTTATCGACTTTGGATTTGTTAAAAGACGAGGTGATCATGCTGCTTTGATCTTCTACAAAATTGATGTTCATGTTATGTTTTAGAAGCATGTTTCTAGTTTTAGTTATTTTAGCTATTTAAAGACCACTTAAATAATAATAATAAATATGGTTTGTTGTATTTTATTTAATAAAATAATTATTGTACGTATTAGTTCTAAGGCCAAATGAACCAAATTTTATCATTGAACATTAGATACTTCAACTTTTGTAAAACAGTGTATGCATTCTACATGTTTTTTGTTATCAAAAGTTTTATTTGCCATTTTAGTTTTCTTAAAATTCAGAGCACACGGAAAAGATCCGGGAGAAAATGGATTGTTCACCCCTTATTACTAAAGCACAACATGAATTGATTTTGTCAGACTGGCCTTCAGTAGAGGTTTTAATTTTTATTTTTAAGGGGTGGAATGTTAAAAAAATAGAGGGGTGTGGAATTTAAAAAAAATCTTGTCCAAGGAGTAAAAGACAATAAAAATGTACTTGCCTTCAAATGTTACAAAGTGCTTTATCTACATATGCCTGTTTAGTCAGAATGTTGCAAATCCATCAGTACAGTGCCATAGGCAGCCCAGTTTCTTATAATCTTTATATACCATATTTTGTATCTAAGGTATATTTGTTTGTGTTTCTTATGGTTTTTTAGAGTTTAATCATTGGGATTTTACACAATGGAGAAAACTCTACGCAAGAACTGATAAAAGAATCATGGTTTACATTAATGTTTACATGAACTAAAATAGTGTTATAAGTGACTTGAAATCTGAGGGTCAGGGGTGGAATCCTTATCCCACCAAACATGCTCCCCATTTCAGCTGTGGGGGCATTATAATGTGATGGACAATCCCACTATTTGTTGAGTAGCCCAAGAGTTTGGTGGTGGGTGTTGATGACTAGCTGCCTTCCCTCTAGTCTTTCACTGCTAAATTAGGGATGGTTAATGCAGAAAGCTGTTGTGTAGCTTTGTTCAAAAAACAATAGTGTCATGTATTATTTTTAGTATTATTTAAATTTGGATCCTACTATAGACAAAAACAATGTGTTTTGTTCGTTTATATAGTTCTGGGTTTAGGTTAAGAGGTGCACATTTTTATATGTTTGTGTTACACTTTTGCAGCTCAGATTTTTTAAGGAACATGCGTGCCTCCCTAGAAATCTACTCAAAGTATTTCTTTAGCAATAGAATAAACAATGTACGAAAAATAATGCTTCTCCATTGTGGATGATGGTAAAAAGCTTGTTTCAAGCATGGTGTAGTTGAATTCCACGTTCTGTAACACTTAGGTGTAGACTTTTACAACTCAGAATTCAAGATTTAACTATGTGATGGTGACAATGATTATGTTTGCAATGTTTTTACATAGCATAGTGTATTTATTTTTATATAAAGCTTTGTATGCTCATCAGTTCTTGTGATACTTCTATTAAATAAGTATCGAGGAAAAACGTAATGCATGTGAGTCAATACTTGTCAAAACTCTTGTATTAAACTTAAACTGAAACAGTCGTGTGTATCTAACACTTGTGCTTTTTGTAAATTAGCCAGAAAGATTAGGATGATTTTGAGGTCAAGTAGATAATTCGGTCCTGAAATATGTAAACTTTTGTTGTGTAAAGCTAATTCTTTTTACTTAGTTTTACTTTGAAAGAAAAGAAAGCCAGTTTACAGAGTATGATAACTGTGAGAAGTGGCTACTTATTTTAACAATAATATTTTTATTTTTCTGTTGAAGATATTAACTCTAGGCAACAATCTTAACGTATGAATGTAATTTT